CAGATACTCTTGTGCTGTGCAGCAGTGGCTCTGTGTGTAAATGCTATGCACTGAGGATACACAAAAAAAAAAAAAAAATGTGTACAGGATAATGCCTCATACCAATCAGATGTCCATTTGTTATTGTGTTTGTTAACAACCCTTTATCTCTTAGTGTTATAAACTCCACTTAAAACTGATTAAAGTCTCATTCTTGTCATTGTGTGGGTGTTTTATTAAATGAGAGTATTTATAATTTCAATTGCTTAAATCCATTGAAATTTTAAATAATGGGCAGCCAAATATGATTAAGAAGTTTTCTGTATCTTTTTTCCCCCCCTCTGCTGTCCTTTAAAACCTACTATTTATTTTAAAAGAATAGCCTTTGTCAGTTTCGGAGTAGAGTATATGTCTACTCATGTGGCTTTTCTTTATAATTCTGTATTCTGCCATCAACATATGGGAAGCGTCATCTACTCAGTGTGACTTGTGCCATATAAAAATTGATATTCCAGAATAGTCTAAAGGACTTGTGTACTTGAATTTAATCTTGTTATTTGTTAATATTCTTGAAAGATTAAAGACTAAGGCATATCCTTTCAACAAAACATTATAAGGTAATAAGTAAAAGTATAGCTTGTATAAATGTTCTACAAAAGTAGACAGACCACTAATGTAACAGTGGAATTTAATGTTATTTCAAGTTTTACATGTTCTCTGTGTGACTTTTTAAAAGTAATGTGAATGATGTGTAATAATGTAAAGAAGTATGAAGGCATGTGTGTACTCACACACTTTTTTTATAGGAGTACTGATTACTATGGTTGGAGATAATACTGAAGTCAAAGTATTTTGATTTATAAGAAGATATTTTGGTGATGTTTGAAAAATAGGAGTTTACTGGCATTTTGTTTTATATCATGTCCTCAATATGCTGTAATCTGAGCTAGCTTGGTTCAAGTGAATGCCATCACCATTTCCATTGAGAACTTAAAAATCACCAGTGTTTAACATGCAGGCTTCCAAAAAATCAAGACCCTTAATGTTTAATTTGCTGTTAACATGAAACTCTCTTGGTTCTTTTATTTTTTGCCAGATAATTAGCAATACATCCAAAGTTTACTCTTAAAAATGGCTTAAAATGTAATTTTTAATTAGCAGTTGCTAGTGTAGAGAGAAATGTTTTTGAAGAGAACAGTAATAGTCCAAACTGATATAGGGACAGAACCTAAAAACTAGTAAATAAGATAATGGAGAAAAAATTTTGAAGATGAGAAGTAGACACTGATTTTCCTATAGAATTTTGTAACAATAGGTAGATTGGTGGTCAGGTAAAGTTACTTTAATCTAACTTTTTTTTTTCTTTCTTTCTTTCTAGTACTGGGGATTAATCCCAGAGGTACATTACCACTGAGYTACATTCCCAGCCCATTTTATTTATTATTTTTGAGACAGAGCCTTACCAATTTTCTGAGACTGGCCTCAAATTTGCAATCCTCTAGCTTCAGGTGATCCTTTAGCTTCAGTTACCTGAGTCACTGGGATTACAGGCATGTGCCACTGCACCCAGCCTGTTCTTCCATCTTTCAAGATCTGTTAAGTGTGTTAGAATGTAGGTAGCCACTGTGACAAATTTGATGTTGGTTGGTAGCTTTAAATGTTTGTAATGTGAAGAAAGGAAAGGACAAAATAGTTTTCACTGGTAGTACTCTGGTTCTTAAATTGTCTATTTTTAGAATACTTTCCCAGCATAACAACAAAATAATTATAATCCCACCACCTGGAGACATAGCCATTATTAATATTTTAGTGACTATACAATCATTTTTTCTGTATATTCATGTATATATTTTCTTTAAAAATGGAATTTATACTGTGCATATTCTCAAAGCCTTTTAACTTAGTGTTTCCATCATGAATTTGTAGAATGTTCCATTGCCTCAGAAAGTGAACAGTAAGTTGATCACTTTCTAATACTACAGAAGCAGATTTTGTGTGGTCACTGAGAGTCCTTTCCAATTCAGTCGGTTAATCATGAATGTTTAAATATTGTTGGCATTA